TCGTTGTTTTTAGGGGTTTTCTAGGAAAACGGGAAAATTTTGGCGCGGTGCATTTCTCATTTGCGTACGTGGTCCCAGGCCACTCCTATTCTCCTGGGCTGCGTGTCCAGGTGTAGCTCCGGGGCAAGCATTGGGAGGACAATGGCTAAATCACCAACCATTAACGGGCAATTAAAGAACTCTTTACAATTAAGCTAATTTAACAGCAACTGGTCCCACCGTTTTTTTTCTCTGTAACCTTAAATAAAAATAGGTATCTTTTTATTCATAACACCCCACATAACATCTGCTGCATTTTCTGTGGAGTTGCCCTGTTAAAAAACTGGATAAAGCGCTGCGAGAGTTCTCAGTTTTCTATCTTGCCCTTGAAGGAGTTTCCTGACCTGCTTTTTTTTTCCCCCAAACGCCAGCTTGGAGTGCTGCGATGTGCTGGTTGCTGTGGTTCCCTGGCAACTGTGACAGGGTGGTGCCTTGAGGAATGTCAGACCACGTCCCGTCTCCGCCTGCTCTGGGGCAGCCTCATCCTGCGTCATCTCGGGGATAGGGAAAGGAACGTTCTCGCCCTGGCCGCGCCCCGCTTTCACCGGCTTTGAAGCAGCCGCGGCCTTGGGAACGCCCTCCTCCTCCCCGGCATCACCCGCGCTGCCCGGGTCCCATTCGGGATCTACGTTGCCCGGACCCGCGCAGCCCCGATCTCAACTGGGGACCGCTCCCCTGGCTCCGCGCCAACATCCGCACCCGGCGGGACCATCTCCCACACCGCCGATGCCCCTGCCGCACTGGCGAAAGGGGAAAAAGCCTTTCTCGCTCCGGCTTCCGGGTTTTGCGTGATCAACGCGCGTCCGTTGAGTCCCGCCGCCGCGGCTCCACGCTCCGCTCGGTCCGCCTCCGCTCGGCCCTGCCCCCGCAGCCGCCCTGCACTCCCCGGACGGCTGGGCGCTGCCCGCCACTGCCGCCAACATCGCGCGCACCCTCGCTGCCGCGCGCGTCATCGCCGCCACCTCGTCCGCCCCCACGGCCCCTCCCGGCGCTGCCGCTTTTGCTGCTGCCCTGAGCCACTGCTTGCAGCCGTCACCATCGCGGCACCCCCAGGCGCCCCTGCGGCCCCTGCACGCCACCCGGGCTGCTGCTGACTGCCTGTTACTGCCTCGGCATGGTGGAAATGCAGCTCCCCCTCGGTCCCCGCGACTTCCTCCACCCCCCGCCCCGATGGGCCCGCCGTCGCCTCCATGGCTTCTGTCGCCCTCATGTCCCCGCCGCTGCCTTCGCTGCCGCCCCTGGCTGCTGTATGCTGCCCAGCGCCGCTGCGAGAGGCTGCCCCCCGTATCCTTCTGGCCCTGTGATTTCGGCACCCTCTCCCGTCAGTCCCTCAGCCGCCGCCCCCGCCGTGAGTGTACTCAGTATGGGACTACAAGCCTGTTCATGGGCGAGATTCCACTTTTCCTCCTCACCGAGGGAACTGGCTAGTTTCGACTTTCCTGGGACTGGTTGAGGGATGTCTGCATCAGAGGACCCTGGAGATTCTGAGTGTTCTGGGGATTCTGAGGACTCAAGGGACCCCTGGGACCCTGGACGTGATGGTAAATAGTCCTATTAATTTTCAGTGGGAGGCATTCCTTCTTCCCCTGGATCCGTGGTAGAGAGAATTGCCTCCTGCTGATCACAGGGCAATTTCCCTCCCTCGGCTCCCGTAGGAGTCTGGGAGTCGTTACTACTGCCTGCTGATGGCAGGTAGCCCCCGCGGCATTCTGCGAAATCGTTTCCAGCATTGTTCCCGCTGGAGCCAAAAGTCTCAAGGCCTTTTTATCTTTCCCTGTTGCTAAATGATAAAGGTGTCCGTTAATCTCCCTGAGCTGTTCCTGGGAATAAGCTTCCCCAGTGTTCTCAGTGTTCTAAATTTTGACCTTTCTCGCCAAAAGCTGAAGCACTGCGAGGTCGGTCTGGAGGTTGTCCTGGTCCCTGGCCAGCAGATCACAGGTGAGGATTCCTAGGTGCCTCTCGTCCAGGCCATGCTCAAGGTGATTTGTTTCAGCAAGGGTCAGGTTGTTCTTCCCTGGATTTTTCTCTCTGGTGGTGTGACTCTTCCTGGGTTGGAATTCAGCGTGTGGTGGCTTGGCTGCTTGCCAACAGCTCACCTCTGAGCTTCGCCCACCCAGGGACACCAGATCTCGGGTTCCCTCCCTGGTCGAGATGATCCCGAGGTGTGTCAAAAGTCTTTTTCTCCAACCCAGCTGTCCAAGAAGAAATCAGAAGTCTTTGGCTGTCGTTCTCAAGGTTGTTTATTATTTCTTATCTAAAACATTTTCTGTCTGGCCTGCCAAGGTCTGTTCTGCAGGTCGGTCTGAGGCACACTCCACCCGCCCCCCGGCTGGTGTTGCTTTTATGCTACAAACCACATAATCGATATTTACAGTTATTTTCCAATACCTATCACCTATGTTAGACAGTTAGACAGACTTTCTAGTCTAAACCAATCCCAAAGTGCTAGCACCACCAAGAAGATGGAGGCTAGAAAGAAGGAAGAAGGACAGGACAACACCTAAATCTCTCCATTTGTCCCTCTAGACCCCCATAGTAAAATTCTTCAAAATTTCACCTTTCGCCCTGTGACAACTACTATTATACTACTTAAACTTTGGTGACTTGTAATTCTTCATATAAGGTTGGTAATTTGTTCCATGGGTTAAGATCGAATTCCCAGGTGTCTTTGGCTTCCTGCCAGGGTCTCCAAGCCCCTGCCAGGGCTTTGAGCCATCCAGGGCATCCAGAGGGATGTCCTGGGTTCTGACACATTAGTGCATAGCTCTAAACTGCATATAATTAACTGTCTTCACATTTTAATTAGACAAAAGAATCCCTCTGGGCCTGTGATCCAAGGACACACCACAGCCTCAGGCCCCAAAAAGTATAAACAAAAGTGAATTGGGAAGGAGCAAGCTGAGGGTATATGGCTTCATTACCTGAAGCTTTAATTGGAGAATTAACTCCTGATATGCAAACAGACAAAACTTCTATATGCCTGAAAAACCTGTGATCACGAGTCTTTTATACTGCCCAAGGCCTGTTAAGGCCTTTAAAAAATACCCACTTTGTTCTGTTAACTCTGTCTAGCCTTTTGTTCTAGGTAGCCACTCCAAGGCATCAATACCATGTAGCACTGAGTGCTGCTTACATCAGTAAGGCTAATAAGAAGGAAACAGGACAGAAAGGTTTGTCTATATTTACTTAGCTCACATAATTCTGCTAGGTCTTCTCAGGTCTCCAAGTCTATAATTCAGGTTCTATTTTGCACAGCAGTTCCATAAAAGCTTAGTTTCTTTGTGTGTGCTACCAGATGGAATATATCTGAAAGTAAATAAGTAGCAAATATTGGGCCAGCCTTCAACCAAAGGCTTTTCATAGCAAATCATGGAGCCATCACTGCTGAACTTCGACTGGCAGAATGATGTACGTTGGCTGTATCTTGAAAATTAAATATGCATCCTTAGAATAGGAAGGGAATGAAATTCAGGCATTTAAATACATAGGTTATTTTGCCTGATACAGGCACCAGTCTGCCACAGGCAGTTAATCACTTGAAAACAGATCCAGAATACAGAATCTGAAAAGCTCTGTACAGAGAGGCAACATTTTAGCAGGCTGCTTTGATTCCATGCCAAGTGTTCAGAGGTGGCTTCAACAGTAGGCAACAAAGTGTCATAGAGGTATAACTGAAAACAACTGAAAATTGCATTAGTTTCTGTCATTCTCTCAATAGCAAATGCACATAGATTGAATTTCATCATGCATTTGTAGGTACATTTTAAGCATATATTAGTTATGTTTTTCCTGTCCCTCAAACGGCCCAGGATGTAAAAATCAACAAAAAATAACCCCCACTCCCCTTTGCAGCACACACAACCCACACCTCAAAGGCGTCAGGAAAAAAACCCTTGACTATCTTTGCCTAGGTTGCCTATAGGGATAGAAGTCTGTGTGAGGAATATTTACATCCATTTCCATAAAATGGCATCATTCTTTGCAATTAACAACATGAGTTACTTAATTGCTCCTTGAACAAATGAAGTCCTTTGTGTTTCAAATTAACTGAAAGGCATATTAATTTATGCCTTTCAGTTTATCTCATAGTGCTTTTGAAACCAGCTAGTTCACAAGAACTGCATATAAATGAAGCAGGAGCTAACTTGAAGGGCAGCATAGGTAAATATTTTGTACCTAATGCATTGTTCTCGCATCACTCTTACTTATTTTTTAATGAGGAAAGCAGTTGCAATATTTGTTATACCTTGGTATAATATAAAAGCCTCCAGATCCTCAAAGGACAGACTTACTGGTTTAACAGAGAAAATGAGAAAGAGAGACACAGAGAAAGGAAAAGTGACAGATTTGTGGGAGGTATGATCTACAATCCAAGTCTATTTTCACATTATTCATCATTCAGTAGCTTTTGCAATTTATTGATGCCATATCTTTTCAGTGGAGATGGCACTTGTCATGTGGGTATTTAAACAGGTCTCTTGTTTCACCTGCACTTGCAAAATCTAAGTAATATGCTATATACATAGAGAAAACATACATGTCCATAAAAGCTGTTTTTGTTACAAAGATTAATTATAGTATTTGATTCATCATGCAAGCTCTTTCCCTTATTTAGCTACCCAAACCCTTCTAACAAACAGGCTCCCACATGAAATTTCAGTCTCTTTTTACAGGTAGCAAAAATATACTGGATTTAAGAACATTTAATAATTTTAGCTAAAAATGCAGTGATTCAACTCTAGTTCAATAAGTATTAAGAGACTGAAATGCCAAAAAGAAATGAGGAGTAATTCACATGATGTTGGAAAATGACATTAAAATCAAGAAATCAAAAAGAGAGAACTGAAAAATTCTCTTTTGCCTGATATTTTCTAGAAAGTAATATATTAAATCAACTCACTTTTCCACCTTTTTTTTGTTTGTTGTTTGTTGTTTGTTTTTTGTGTTCTTCACTTTTTAAGGCACTAAGCTGTTTACAGAAGAAGAACAAACAGTGATTATGGAAGATGAAGAAAAAGATGGAGACATAATCCACGGTTAGATTACAGTGGTATTTCAATAATACAGTGTAAATAATAATGGGTCATTCAAAGTGACAGCACATTAAAAAATATCTTTCACATTTGTAAATAATTTTCTCAGTTGTACACTTGAATTTAAACTACCATCAAGTGCTTATCTGCATCTAGTAATTCCTAGCAAGCATCATTGGACATGAATGGCAGAAATTTCAGTTACACAGGGTTTGAAGAATTCTGTCAGTTTACTACAAGTGGCTTCCTAGCATTTTTGTCAGTGAGGAATCTACCTCAGATCAGATCTGGTTTTGTGGAGTGTGGTACTCATACAGTACCTGGCACTGGAAGTGGTAATGCAGAGTAGTAAAACACCAGCTAGTGATTCAAATTGCTTTTTTTTGCCTGACACTTGACCTCATTTGTCCAGCTTTCCTTTCCTGGAATAACACTGACCACAGTGAAAATTCCCATGTGCAGAGCTGATGGGATAGATGAAGAAGGTGAGAGGACCAGGATTCAATTCTAGAGTCTCTGAAATGCAAAGCAAAAATTTCCTCTGCCTGGATCTGCTCATGACTTGTATCTGTAAGGAGGAAAAGATAAATTTACTTTAGAATTAAAATTACACCTAAGGGCTCTTGGCCTTGACAGATGCATCAAATAGGATGGAGGGCAGAGATCTCAGAGGACAAACACTAGGGAAGTGCAATGCCTGCAGGTAATTGTCTCCACTGGCTTGGTGAAAGATAAAATTGTTGGATAGTTGATCCTTTTGTTCAAAATAAATTCACATCTGCTTTTTAAATTGAATTCTAGGTAATCAGTTAGGAGAGGCTGTAAAGATTCAAAATCACAGCAGGAAAGTAAAACTTGAATAAAAGGAATAATGTTACTCAATGGAATATGCTTACTGCAAGGTAGAAGAGCATAGTGACTTTTTAAATAGTTTACCTCAATGATTCAAACAAGAATTGTTTTCACAGCCAGCTACAGCATTTGTAGAGAGATGGGTATTGGTAGAATATTTTACCCCAAAAAAGACAGAACTGGACTCTGTGTGCTGACCTTAATACTCTGGGATAGATGGAGTAGCACTGCCAGATGAACCCTTAGGGAATTAAGCAGAGAGGTTGAAGATTATCTAGCCTGATGGACAGAATTTAATTATCTTTTTAAGTCACTTATACAGACAGCTGAGGACCATACTACATTGGACTCCATTTGCCACTCTGACTGACCCAACATCTTTCATGAGAATACAGTCCATTCACAAATATATATGAATGTATACTCTCAAGATGTAATCAGTGAGCTTACAATAAATAATTGCATATTAAATTGCACAAGAGGTCCACTGTATGATTAATGGGATACCTCTTACTTAAAAAGTGTACTTGTTTTTATCCTATTAATCCATCAGTGAGATAACATCATACTTAAAATATAAATAATCTATAGTTCAAGTAACAACATTAATATAAGATCCACAATAAATTGTGGAAACAGATGGGCATGCCAGCCCTCTTCCTTGGAGAGATATCCCCTGAATAGGCTATGGTATGAGCTTCTCAAAGTCTCATGGATTGAGAAATCCTCCGTGGTCATGGTGAGTTCCCAGCATGCTTTGGAACCCCATGTAGATTTGTTGGGACTGATTGGTTTTTCCCCCTTTGTACCACCCCTGCTTTTCCCCATAAAACCCCCAGTTTCTGCCTTGTTCAGGAGGGAGCTGCCATCACTAGCATCCTTTGCAAGTTGCTGGAATAAAGGCTACCTCTGTGGAACAACCACACAGTGCTCCTGTGTCTTTATCCCTGTGTTGGCCAGGGTATACCTCACAAGGCAGAGCTGAAATCACTGCTAAGAGCTGAGGTGAGCTGCCTGCCCCTTGCTGAGGTTACCCGACAGCTGAAGGACTGCCTAAGACTCCTAGAAAGCTCTCTCTTGCAGGACCTCTCTCTGGGAAGGCTGCAGTGTCCAGGTCAAGCCATCAGACCCCCAACTGCCTCTACAGTAAAGTACGTCACAACAAGTACATAACAAGAATATGACTCAGGTCTACCTTTGCCAGTGAAGTTGGTGAATATTTTCTGTGCATGTGTAGTGAGCCGACCTTGGCTAGATGCCAGATACCCACCAGGCTGCTCTATCACTTCCCTTTACAGCAGGACAATGGAGAGAAAATAAGATGGAAAACAACTAGTAGGTTGAGATAAGGCAGTTTAAAAAGCAAGGAAAAAAAAAAAGAAAAGCAAAAGTTTGCACATACATAAGCAAAAGAGAAAACAATTAATATCTACTTCCCATCAGCAAGCAATATTCAGCCATTTCCCAGGAAGCAGGGTTTCAGCACACACTTCTGGAATGGTTGTTCCAGAAGGCAAAAGTGGTAACATAACAAATAACCCCATTCCTCCTCTCTCCCATAGCTTTCATATCTGAGCTGATATCATATGGTATGGAATATCCCTTTGGTTTATTTGGGTCAGATATTTTGGCATAGTTGTGTCCCCTACCAGGATCATGCTCACTCCCAGTCCCTTGACAGGAGCCATGGGAGAGAATGTTAGAGACAGTGCTGATGCTGTGCCAGTGCTGCTCAGCAGTAGCAACACCACTGGTGTGTTACCAGTACCTATCCAGCTACCAATGCAAAGCACAGCACTGTGAGGGCTGCTGAGGGAAAATGAACTCTATTTGTGTCACTCCCAATACCATTTCCACCCCTTATTCCATACCATTTGCATCCTACTCAGATCTCACGTAATTTATATATCTTCCAACTCTTCCATTATATTTCTCATTACTGGAATTCCTTTTTACCCACACTTACAACTTAACTACATCCTTAAACCATCTCTATACCCAATATACACTTTCATTAACTACTACCCCTGTCCTTTCACAGACTGATATTACTTTCCCTTTTCATGGGCTTCCTCCATCTCTCCAGATCCATCACTTGGGCTCCATTCAATCAGGATGGGTAGTCAAGACAGGAGAAGAAGCATACTTGATCACTGCACATCAAGACTGACCTGGCTTGAGTCATCATTGCATCCTCCTTGCCCTTCACAAAATTAATTCTTCATCAGTTCAAGTCATTCCTGCTACTTTATTTCCTGCAACACATAATTTATGCCACAGATTATTTTTCCCACAAGGTTAAATTTCCTTGAGTCACACAGCAGGTCTCCCAACTCTTCCACACTACCTACCAAATACACCCTGGACCTTGGGCAAAAACAATCCCACAAATGGGTTTGCCTTTCCTCATGAAAGGAGAAATCCACACCAGCTTCCCTGGCCATGAAGCCCCAGTCATGAAGAAAGAAACAGAATTAGCTATCTGGCCTCCATCTGGGGCTTCCCTTCTGTCTGACTGAGGCAGGACAGAACCAATCTCTTCGGCTGCCCCTAAAAGCTGGGCTGCTTGTTCATAGGTATGTGAAAGTATGCAGAGTTTCTGCTGCATTTCAGACCAAGAAGATTCAATTTCTACAGCTGATATATGCATTTGCAGGTAATACTATGATATGAAGCTGCTGGAATATGATGCAGGGGCTCTTTGAACAACCTTCCTCCACATGGCCATTGTGCAAGGGACATCCTGTGGATCTTTAAGGACTTTATCCTTTTTTAGATTTCTATAGATGACTTCCAGCATTTCTAATTCTCTGATACTGGATAACTTCAGCTGTGGTGGTCCACTTTCCTGAGGAATTTATTCCCAAGAACTGGATCTCCTGTGCAGTTCCCTTCACTTTGTTTTATGGCAAGACCAGCTTTCAGAAGGATTTGGATTTTTTATTCTTTCCTTTTTCAGAAACTTCTGCTGTATTACCCCACACAAAGATATCATTAAGACATTGCAGGTGTTCTGGAGCTCTGCCCTGTTCGATATCAAATAGTGGGGCTTCCATAAATGATCTTAAAAGATCTTCCTTAAATTAATATCTTGCCCTCACGCTTGAGAGGAGCTGTCTACAGAGGCTGCAAATTGCTCGTTCTTTTCCAATTCCTCTTTCAACTTCCCAATCTCTAGCAAGGGATCCCAGCTGTTGGACTTCATGACCTTCTAATTGCTGACCCTTGACTCCATTATCCCAGCATCGAAGAAATCCATTCATCTGGCTGATGATTGTAGTCTTTTCTCAAATCTCCAAGTTCTGATGAGGTCAGAGTAACTTGGGTTTCCTGTTTGATTTGCCTCACTCCTTTCAATTTCTGTGTTGAAGGTCCTGCTATTGAAGGACCTGCTTCTTCCATCTAACCCCTCCTCTCCTATTTTTTCTTCTTCTTCCTCTTCTTCTTCTTCCTTCTTCTTCTTCTTCCTCTTCCTCTTCTTCCTCCTCCCTTACTAATTGATGGTATGAGCCTGTTACTCACCTTGTCAATTTTTTTCATTACTGGGATAATTAGTTACTGTGGTTTGAGTCTGTCTCAGTTATAGTGTCTTCAAATGCATTTTGGGTTCCTGCCACAACTACTGTCCTCTGAGAGTACAGAACTGTGGTTCAGTAGGCACAGGCCAGGCCCCAGCACAGGGTGAGAAGCTGCTAGTGTTCATTGGAGTAGGGAACACACCTTTCTGTCAGTTGATTGGCCAGCTTGTCAGGGTTGATCACCTGTTCAGGTGTAAAGCCCTAGGTGATGGTAGGTGATAATTGCCCTAGAAACATGCCCAAATCCTTCCATGCACCCTGCCACTCAGAAACTGAATGCCTCAGTGCAATTTCAATATCTCCTCACAAAATTTGTTTTCTCTTACATCAGGATGGCACCAGATTCCATAAACTCCATAGTGAACCAGCAGTATTAGTTGATATTATTAACAGTGTTAAACAGCTTACATAAGGATGAGCAAAGACTGTGGAAGACTGCATTATAAAAGCATTCAAATCAGTCTCGGGCAGGGAGAAGGAGGTGTATTCCTTCATCATCCACAGAAGATAGCTCCCCCAGCATAACAAGGTCATCAGTGTAAAGGAAAAGCACACAGCCACTGTTTGTATTAACATGTTCTCAAACTCAAAAGAGAGAGATAAGCAATGCAGCTGACAAACTCCATGTTCCACAAAGAAGCTTGCTACTTGATAAATACTATTTATAAATATGTATA